CATTTAGGTCTTTAATCCATTTTGAGTTTATTTTTGTGTATGGTGTTAGGGAGTGTTCTAATTTCATTCTTTTACATGTAGCTGTCCAGTTTTCCAGCACCACTTATTGAAGAGGCTGTCTTTTCTCCATTGTATATTCTTGCCTCCTTTATCAAAGATAAGGTGACCATATATGTGTGGGTTTATCTCTGGGCTTTCTGTGCTGTTCCATTGTTCTATATTTCTGTTTTTATGCCAGTACCATACTGTCTTGATTACTGTAGCTTTGTAGTATAGTCTGAAGTCTGAGAGCCTGATTCCTCCAGCTCTGTTTTTCGTTCTCAAGATTGCTTTGGCTATTCGGGGTCTTTTGTGTTTCCATATAAATTGTGAAATTTTTTGTTCTAGTTTTATGAAAAATGTCAGTGGTAGTTTGATAGGGATTGCATTGAATCTGTAGATTGCTTTGGGTAGTATAGTCATTTTCACAGTGTTGATTCTTCCAATCCAAGAACATGGTATATCTCTCCCATCTATTTGTATCATCTTTAATTTCTTTTATCAGTGTCTTATAATTTTCTGCATACAGGTCTTTTGTCTCCTTAGGTAGGTTTATTCCTAGGTATTTTATTCTTTTTGTTTCAATAGTACCACGTAGTCTTGATTACTGTCACTATATAATCAATCTTCCAGTCAGAGTAATTCCACCCACTTTATTCTTCTTTTCCAGATTATTCTAATTACCCTAATTCATTTTCCTTTCCATATAAATTTTAGAGTAAACGTCCATACCTACAAAAAAAAAAAAATCCTACTGATATTTTGACGGGAATTGCATTAAACCTATATATCAATTTGGGGAGAATGGACATCTTTATCATGTTGTCTTCCAATCCATGATCACAGTATACCTTGCTTGGCTAATATTTTGTTATATCTATACCTTCTTAATACTTTTTTTTCCCTTCAGGAATCATTTCTACACGGGTCTATCCAAGATCCTGGAAGCAACTGCTCTAGTTACAGATATGCAGAAGGAGCTCTTGATTCTTGGCCCTCAAATAGAACAAAAAGCAAAGGTGTGTTTGATTTGGGTTCTCTTTTAAAGATTTTATGGTTTAATATGGAACAGTGTTTGAAAGCAAAGGTTGATACTTGATGAACATGAGTTAGAACTCCAGCTTTATTACCGTGCAGCTGTGCAACCTCTCTTAGTCTCAATTTTCTTATCTGTAAAATGAGGGAAACAATAACAACAACAATAGCAAAGTAGTAACATCATTATATTTTAATAATTAAATGTGATAATAGGTATATAGCTAATTGTAAAACTCACATAAAAAATCTGAAGTTATTAGTTAAATCCATCCGAAACACTCTGTGGTAACTTGCATTTTGCCAAGTATTTTAAAAATCATTACTCATCGTCATTCTTTATCTGTATTGTATGAAATGATATTTATTGTAGTCATTATTAGCCTGATAAACAAATATATTTCAAGCTGATTTTGACAAACTCTCTAATAATGAGGTGAGCTATTTGAATTTCTCTTTAAGAATGATATCATGTCTCAAAATTTAAGGAGAATTGTTTGGTTCATTAGGAAAAAGAAGCCTTAATGGAAAAACTACAGAAAGATTCACAAGTGGTTGAAAAAGTTCAGATGCTTGTTAAACAAGAGGAAGAAATTATGGCGAAAGAAGTAAGAATTGTGGCAGGGTATGCTCAGGTAAAAGTAAATTATAATCAATAAAAATCATTTAGAGATTTTGCAGAATTGTTTCCTACCCCCAAAATGTAAAGGCCAGGCTGACTGCTCTTAAATATATAGTGTCCCAACTCTGCATACTTTTCATTTTTATCCCAGAAAATATTTATTGAGTACCTACGACATGCAAGACACTATTAAATGAAAACAGGAAGTACAAAGACACAGGGTCCCTGTCCTTGAGAAATCTTAGGAAGACAGATAAGCTGGTTCTTCCGGTTACAATGAACAAAAACCCATGCAAGCCATATCAGAAATACATGTGACCTCCAAGAGGATCATCTGCAGGAAGCGCAGCAGCTCTAGGGACTGTCTATTTGGTTTGTGTCACTTCTCTCATTGCCTGAATAATCCTCTTTTTAAACTGGCTAATTCCCCTCCATACCCTCCAGTCAGAATCCCAGCAGGAACCAAGCCTGGGGTAGCAAATTACCAGTTGTTCAACCCTGGTCTAATCAATAGCCACCCCTACTCAGAAGGCAGAGAGTTTCATGTCTTCCATGTGCAAAGGTTTTTAATGAAACAACTCCATCAATTAAAAGATACATATATAAGTTAAAACCTCAATATGAGTGTATTTATTTATGTGAAACACATGAGCTACTATCATTAATATCTCAAAGCACAATAAATACTCGGGGCAAGTTTTATTATAAATAATAGTGAATGTGAATGCATATTTCTAATAGTCTTTTTTATAATTTCAAAATGTTTTGCCTGACTTCTTGTCAGATCTGGTTAGGCTGAAGAAGAGTTCCTACCAGGGATAAGAGAAGTATCAGCCTGCCTTTCTGTCATTGTTCACTTGTACTTGCAGTGTTAGCATTATCTTCAATCCAAGGTTTCTTTGAGAAACCTTTTTAAGCTACCTGTCCATATTTTAAGGGCTAATTTACTTCAAGCTGGATGACTTAATAGGTAAACCCCCCCTCCTTGGACACAAATACTGTAAACTGCAGGCTTCTTGCTGAGCGTTTAGGAAACGGGGAGGCCACTACAGCCAACGCTTCCAACGTGTGGAACTTCACCTCTTCCCTCAAGATGCCACATAAGTCTCACTGTGAGCAACCCATAACCTCAGTTAGGCCAGCCATATGAAGGTGCCACTATTAACCAGTATATTTATACGAGTACAGCTTAACTTCAGTCTTTAATTTTTTAGGCCAAAAGAAAATGGATATGGAGGAATTAATGTGTTTTGGGGGCATTTTTTGTTTTTGTTTTTGCCAGACCCCAAAAACACCCATCTTACTTCAGAGGTATACTCAGGTTTTATAGAACCTGAAGCTTATACAATTTTGAGGCCATTTTTTTAAAGAATACAAAATTACTAGTTTACAATTATACATGAAAGTGAATATTTATTTAGAAGAAGTAAAGAAATCAAAGAAAATACAAATTTTTTAGAAGTTGACAATTATTACAAACATCACAAAATTTCAAAAAATAACATAATAATGTTTGGTAATTAACTGTCTTACACATCCCAAAATACTTTTTTCCTGCATTTTTTTCACTGCATATCCTGTGATTGCTTCTTCATGATTTTGTAATATCATTTCCTATAGAATCTTTAGCATAGTTGATAAAATGTGTTTTTCATGTTTGAACGTTTGGAAAAGTTTCTTTCAACTTCATCATTGATCATGCCATGAACATTTTTAGTATTGCTATCAAATTTGGTATAAGTAGCAATGACATTTCAAGATTCCTTGTGCAGTGATTAATCTTAAATACTGTTTGAATTGAGAACATTCATTGACCAATTTTCCATCAGTGTCTTTATTATAGAGGTGTTTTCTGATATCTATAGTTTTATTAGTATCAATATTTCTTGCAAACTCAGCCACAACCTTGAATTTTTCCAGTGATCATATGAAGCATTCTTCTTCATTAATTGGATTATTAAACAGACCAAGGGCCAGATCATTACTTCTATCCTAAATTTATTTTTAACTCTTAATAAACTATTGCTTCGGTATGATCCGAAATTTTTCATTACATTTTGCTCCTCAGTATCAAAAAATCTCTATTGATTTTAACAATCACTTTTATTTAACATTCCCCCAATTTTTATCGTAATTATTTATTTGTAAATAAGAATTAAAAATTATAAAATAAGGCACTTTTGACATACAATCTGTACAAGGAATCTGTAATTTCTCACTTATTTCATTGAGACATTCTGAAACATCTTTCCAAAGGCAATAATTATTACCTAAAAACCCAGGAATTCTGATGAATTCTTGTTGCACAACTCCCATCAAAAAAGAGAGAAAATGCGTAAAGCTTAGAATAGTATACACTGCATTATCAAGTATATTCATGAAAGAGTGAAATTCCATTTTGAGTAGGTGTCGATGAGGATCTAACCATCTACTTACCATTTTACTCATCTAATAAATGGAAGGATTTTCCACAGACCAGATTCTGGTGCTGAGTACTCTAAGTACAAGTTATATTACAGTCTGACCTCTGACCCTGTACCTTAATGTCACATCACCACGAAAGTCGGAACAATAGACAACGGAAGTATTTCCAGAGGTCATTCCTATTTGAGATAGTATGCAATAACTTAATTATACAGAGAAGTGACTGTAAGCAATATAAATATAATTCCCAACTCATCTTGTTATCCAGATCCCAGTAATGTCCACAGCCATTCCAGCACCACCTGTCATGATAGAATACCTGACAAAGTGTGAGTCAAAGTGTAAAGAGAAATTGGTCTTATCTGATTGCAGTTAAAATGCCTTACTTCTGCAAGTCTTACAGGAATGTATGACCCTGCAACCATATTGACAGGAATGTTTTGGCAGAGTTCCATCCAGGACCTTGGAAGGGGCCTGTACAGCTGAAGGGTCTGAAACTTAAGCTTCATTAGCTTTACAGTAATTCCACCTTTAAGTGGACCACTCCTCAAAATGGCAATGTTCAAACTACACTGAGTCTAATATGGAAGGCGGAAACCACTCAGTGTTTTTGCTTCTCACGGATGTCTCATCAGGGATTGCATAATACGCTAATTTAGGACAGTAACACATGTTTCTAACAGGATAAGCATGTGTGTATGCCCCTAAGTTATGCAGACGCATAACTTATGGGCATTGCAAAAATGTCAAATTACATTTTCCAACTTCAAAATATAAAAATTTTAAGTCTGCAACTAAATTCATTCATATGTATTTAGGGGCTTATAACTTTAGTGCAGGAAGCTGACAATGAATTAAAAAGTGTACTGCCAGCTGTCAACAAGGCAATTGTGGCTCTAAACGCCCTGGATAAAGCTGATATCTCTGAATAAAGGTGAGTAATTTACCGGTTTCTTTTGAGTTGGAAAAACTCAAAATAAAGCAAAAATACATAGTAAAAGTTAAGTCTATATTCCATTTTTAGATTAAGCCATTTTACCTATCTTGGTTACTTTAAATTTTGCATCATGTGCTTTGTATACTGTATCTTATCATTGTTATGCCATCAACTGTAAGGCATATCAGCATTTCATGTACCCTTAAGAAAGAAAAAACACTGCCATGCATACTATATGACGTGCCATTGGTTATAACTAAAACCCAATCTCAGAGAAGTAAAAATGTGCATCTTAGAATTGATGAAATATTGTATTACCTAGACTAGAAAGAAAACGAACAGTGATTATATAAACACCTGACCTGAAGTTCCAAAAATAAGAGGACAGTGTTCACTGCACTGCTACTTACGCCAGTGTAGCTATAGACTTCTGGCCACTGCAACAAGGTGTCACTATGGGAAGCACTTCCCCTTATGCCCTTTCCTAAACCCAACTTTCCAAATGCAGGGGGAAAAGTGATTAAAGAGAAATTCATAAGAAAATACAAGAAGAAATGAAATACTTTAAGGCACAAAGATCTGAACCTGATGGTTCTGATTTGCATCATCTGAGATGATTTTTAACTTGAGCTCTCCAACTCAACAAACAGAGGCAATTTGCCTATTACATCTTCGAATGTGTTGAGATTTCACTGTTTATAGAAAGTAGTATTTTGATAAAAGATGCTGAAATATGAAGCAAATCTACCATGATATTTTTAACACATTATTAACTCTGAGGATAAGAACAGAAAATGGCAAAAAAAAAAGGGGTTTTTTTAAACCAGTGTATTTTTATGGAAAAGAACAGAGAACATCACAATGTTGAACTTACTCTACCCAAAGTTGAAAAACAAAGGCACAGAGAGAAACAAACAAGAGGAAGGGAATGAATTCTTGACTTCTTCTTCCTTTTTTACCCCATTCATTTGTATTCATTTTTAGTCATTCATTTATTCATTCATTCAGCAAATATATTGAGGGCACACTGTGTGCCAGGCCCCATTCTCTGTGCTGACGTGACAACAATTAACAGTTGGAAAAAGCCTTTATGATGAGGTGACACTGAAGCAGCCAACTGAATGAAGTTTGGACATAAACTAGGAAGGTCCAAAGGAAAACAGAAGAAATAGAAAGCACAAAAATCTGAAGGCAGAAACGTGTCGGTGAGTTTCAGGAACTGCAGATGAACCGGGATGGCTGAAGCTCAGTGAACAAGAGGAAGTATCAGGAGATGACATCCAAGAAGCAGCAGGTCCAGCCTTCCCAAACATAGCCCCCTCTGTGCCTCATGACTTTGTTCCCGAAGTTCTATTCCCTTAGCTTTTCTCTGGCAGAGATTCCCAAGAGAGACCTCAGCTCAAACTCCCTCTAGTCTGATATCTGAGGGACAGTGTATTTTAGTGGTTAAGCACATGGGCTCTGGTACCAAGCTTCCTGGGTTGGAAGCCTGGCACTGCTGCTTTCTAGTTGTATAGCCTCTCTGTGCCTCAACTTTCTTTTTATGCAATAAGGATAATAACAAATGTTGAAAGGACTGGATGCCTTAAAACATGTAAAGTGGGACTTCCCTCGTGATCCAGTGGTAAAGAATCTGCCTACCAATGCAGGGC